GTACGAAAAATTAAGCAAAAAATGCAGCAAAACACCATTTAACAGAACAGTTTTAAGTTACAATGCTAGAACAAACTGTAAGAAAATACCCCAGCCCAATGTCACTTAAGGATGGAAAAGTGATTCTAAATAGCCTTCCCCCAAACAAGAGAAAGCATTCCAAAAAAATAGGGTTAGAATTTGGAAGTTTGTTTTTTCTCCTAAATGTCAGTGTCACTTCAGCTTGCATCCATGGACACCTTTCTGGATTTGGAGGAGAAATTAGAGCAGATAGAGGAAGTTGCCAGTGCTCATAGGGGCACCAGTTTTTCCAGGCAGACAAGTAGCTTGTGCAGGTGCAGTTTGACATGCCTTATTTATGATCATTGAAGTTTCAGTAAAAATAGAATCAGAGGCGTATCTACGATATGGCAGACATGGTATGTGCCATGGGTACCACTCACAAGGGGTGCTATTTAGACTAGTATACCCGCTCAAACAAATAATGACAACCCTAATTTGCAGAATCCTGACAGGGGCGAAAATTCTATGCTTGCCATGAGCGATTGAATACCTAGATGCACCTATGGATAGAATTAAAATTTGGACAGGGGGATTTCTAACCACCATTGTATCAATGATGATGGTTTGGGCTTAAAATGTTTTGATAATAATGAACTATAAATTGAAGAGGATTATTTAGGAAAAAAAGTTAAATAAATAGATTCAGGCAACACTGATGTACACAAATTTCATTCTATATAGTGTACAATTGTGAGTAAAAATAATTGATCCTTTTAATCATAGTCTTCAAATTTTATTAAAAATAGCCTACAATTTGACTAAATTATTTTTCTCTAAGAAGGTTCATTTTAGAATTATAGTAATATTTGTATCAGGAACTGTTTTAGAATAATACAATGGTTGCTGTGCTCAATTAGATCTCGTTCTATAAGTTTATTCTATGCTTAATATCTGAAAGACTGATTAAAAGATACCAGCACATATTCTCACCACATAGTAGGGATTCTCTCTTCCAGTTTAAAGTAAACACCTATCTTCATTTCATGCGATTATCAATCAGAGCCCATCAAGTTATTCACACTTGTGCACACAAAATGATTAGCAGAAAGGGAATACATAAATCCCCATCTCTTTTAAATAGATTCAAATTTTATAAGTACATTTTATACTTTGTGTTTAAAATAATTATTCTACTACTGGTGCTTTGTACTTCATGATATTAGTATAATAGCTGCATTGATTATCCACAACAGCAAAATTATTGCCTACAAGCTTTTTAACGGTACATAAATATTACAAAAAATTTTGTTTGTACAATAATCAAATGTAAAACTAAAACTGTGGGAAGAAAACACAGCAGTGTAAATGCTTACGCATATTAATGCCATTAAAAAAAATATCAGTTCCAGAAATATACATATCATCAAACATTTCAACACAGAATAATTTATGAAATTCATAAGATACTTAAATAAATGGATGAATATTAAAAGCATCAGGAAAATTGGAAAATTGTTGTAATATACCAATACAAACAAATGAAGTTAGGCTGAAAAGTAATAAAAATAAATCTTCATTCAAACATTTAATATATATTTAAGATTATGAAAATTGATAGAAAGATGAACCAAGTTGACCATATTTTGAAATTCTGCACATAAACTCTAATTTTTTTTATAAAAAGTTAAAAATAAAATATTTTTTTATTTATGCATGACTGATACAAAAAGAAAGATTTTCAGTCCTAGATAATTTTTTAATTGTTTACTGACCTCAGTGAAAAATGTTTATAATTAATTCCTACAGCTAAACATAAAATGTTTGTGCAGTGTTTTGACTTCACAAAGAGCACACAAGATATAAATTATGAAATTGACTAAATATAATTACACCTTCAAGATTCAAAATTAATTAACCTCTCAATATACTACTGTGTGTATTACCAAAATATACATTCTGTTTCTTCTCATGAATTACTAGCAAATTAAAAAGAACACATCTTTCAAACTAACATATTACCAATCTTAATTATTGTTCTTAGAGACAAGTATATTCAAAGAATAATTTTGGGGACTGAATCAAAGGTATTTTTTATAGTAAAAGATTGTTTATTTTATTTGTAGTCATATTATTGTTATTTGTACACTCAATATTTCTGTACATATCACTCAACAATGCTTTCAAAAGTACTCCATCCTTAATTAAATATTATGTAACAATATATAACAACTCATATTTGGAAGCCTACATTAAAATAATTTTTGGTGAGAAGCATTAATATTTATATCGTGTTCTCATATTAGCAATAATTATATTCAAAAGAAAGTATTCTTAGCATGCCAAATTAAATTAAACAATATTTTTTCTACTACAGATCACCTCCAGGCTATATATAAGATTTATGTCTAAGAACTATTTTACTTCAGCTAAGCTAATAAGCAAAATTCAGCAATCCAATGAATTTCAAATTAGAGATTAGAGAAAAAAACAGACCTAGTCCATGAGGTACCATTTAAATTCATATCAATTCCCAAACCTATCTCTAATGCAGGTGTACTGTTCAACTGTTCCCATCTCCAATGGGTCTTAAGATCTGGAAAGCCTTTGGCAGAAATAACAATTAATCATTGACTCTGTATACTCGTGAGAACTTGAATTATAATAATAATAATAATAGTAATAATAATAATAGTAATAATAATAATAATAATAATAATAATAATAATAATAATAATAATAATAATAATAATAAGTGTGTGTCTATTTCTTCATTTCATCATCATCCTCTTCATCATTTCATTCCAAGGCTTACAACCTAGTGGTGTAAAAATGGAATCAGCATTAAATGCTGATCCCCATCCCCAATAGAAAAGTAATGAGCACCTACCCTGATAATCATGACTGAGCCCTGGTGAGATGCACATATTGTGTGGTCCCATGTTGGCCCCTTTGCAGAATTAAAAAACAAAACAATATAATAATAATAATAATAATAATAATAATAATAATAATAATAATAATAATAATAATAATAATGACACCTAAGCACTGTGTAATGAGTTACTAAAAAATATTAATTTTATGAGTAGATTAGACAACAATAAAATTTAATTTGTAATTGTGGATATTTGAAGTTCATTTTGTTTAGCTCTTCAATCTACTTACAACTTTATTAGATGGTCATAAAATAAATTTGGTCCACCTAATAAGTTTTTTAATTAGTCAATTTATTGACTTAACCTCTTATCAATGTTACCACTATGATTTCTCAGTTATTACCAAAAGATGACAGATCTTGACCCTTCTATATTTAGCAAGTGAAGGCAATCCTTAGATTTCCAACATCACATTTTGTAACGAATAAAAACAAGTACATCTGTCAAATAAAAGATCAATTATTTTTTATTAGAAACTATCCTTTTGTATCACTTTAATAATTAAATAAAATTTAAATATGAAGAATTCAGCATTAATATACCAGAGATCCCAATAACTATGGGCCATCCCTATACTTTTAAACGGTTCACAATATCGAAATGCAGTTTCGCTCAAGAATGGGGAATTATGGGGCACGTAATATGTCATAAGGATATTGTTTGTAATATTTTTAATTTTCAAGAAAGTTAATTATCGTTGAAGTTTTCAACAGAACTATATATTTTTCTCACTAGCAATGGATAAATCATAAGAACACATGATGTATCATTTGTTAATATTTGATAATAATTTGAATATGGATGAATGGAAACTCAAAGCAATGATCATTAAAAAGAATTATATAAAAATTTAGTAGCATTAGGAAGATAATTATATTAATAATAATTACAGTTGAAATATATGTTTTATAGATCATAAATTAATGAATTCATAACTTCTTGCCATTACTGAACTTCAAAACATACATATAAAGAAAACCTTTAAGAAATGAAATAGTAAATACTAAAAATACAGTCATTCACTTACTTTTCTTCTGAAACACAATGTTTTTTGTGATTGCAGTGAGAATCATACAGGGAGTCTAGGGCAAAATGATTCCAAAAATTTAATTTTCCTCCTACGATGATGGAATTTTTTTTTTTTTCAAGCTCACCAGATATTTCACAAAGGATTACAAATATAAAAAATATTCTTAGAATGTTTTCACTAAGAATATACTGCCACACATTGAATCATTAGTCAGAACGGTTCCACAAGTTTCTGTAAAATAACTGAAATTTTTAAACATAACCTTCATGGTAACACACAACTTGTAAGAGCAGTTAAATACAGAGTAATTTTACTAAAACTGAAGAAACAAAATATGTAATCCACTTTATCACAAACAACTGCACAAAATGTTTTGTCAATATATTAACTTTAAATATAATGATAATGATGATAAAAATAATAATAATAATAATAATAATAATAAGTATAATAATAATTATAATAAAGTACACGAATTACTTTGCAGAGAAGATCAAAAACTGGTCAACTTACATCCAAAAATTTCTGTACATTCATTTCAATATTTTTTAATATATCATGGCACTTCAAATAATTAAATATACTAATATAATGATGTTCAAAGATTTCAAATAGTTAAGAGTAATAATATAATTAAATAAAGCTTATTAAAAGAAGCAATTTTTTCTTTTCAGACTTCAATGCATTAACTACTTATTACTAAAATTTGCCCCAATCTGATTCTTTAGTTTCAGCATCAAATGAAAAGGACAATGCTTCATAGCAAAAGAATACAGTAAAACCCCTCTTTGAACAATTCTCAAGAGTCCAAAAAGAATGGTGCAAATCACAGGAAAGTGTAAACGGTATGAAATGACTTTTGCGAATATAATAGAATAAAGACTGTTAATTCTGTACATTAATTAATAATATTAATGTTTATTGAAACATCACTGGGTGTCTTAGGCCTTTCACTTCAGAATACACCAATTCTTCTGTTTTCTATTTTTCTATTCTACAAAGACCCTATTATTGAAACCATTTAATGATCAAATTAACACTAGGTTTTTAAAACTTTACACACACACACAAAAAAAACAACAATTTATTGAAATTGCAAAGAAAATAAAAACCATAGTACCTACTAAGTACACATGCTTGAGAGAGACTGATTGCATTATTACTAACCACATATTAGAAGTTGAGTTTGCATTTTATAGTTCCATATTACAGGCAACATGTCACAAATATGTGAAACATTTCTAAAATGTATGCAGTTGGCAACACAATAATTTGCCCCTAATTTCCAAAATAGAATTTAAAATGGTAACACCTAGCTCAGGATAATATTGAGTAATTCTGATTTTCTCTGATCAAAAGTTCATCTATTTTTAGAGCTCGGAGAAAATAAACAAAACAGATCATTTGCAATCCTATTCTTCTTTGAGTTTACACTGCCATGGAGGAAAGTGTAAAAGGTGGGAAATTTTAAGTCTGAAGTGAAAAAGTCAGGAAAATTTCACATCACGAACATAGGGCAATTCAAGGGACTTGTGAAAATCAGCATAAACAGCAGGAAAGCGTAAATTTCATTGTGTAATGTGAAAGTGGGGTTTTACTGTATATAAAGTTTACATAAATATACATATATCCCATACAAAAACATGTTTGTTTTTCACATATGATCACGTTGGTTACAAAACATCCATACATTTAAATTATCAGTCAATAAATAATAAATCAGGTTCTACAAGAGATAAAGCTATTTTGGATACATTTTAATTCCACCAAGGAATGTTTCATTTCTTAACATTTCGAAACATTTGTCTCATTCACATTCTAAAAAACAAATATAATCTGTAAAAACTAAAAGTAAAAAAACAAAATTCTCAAAACTATTGATGAAAATTACCACCCATACAATTCTTAGCTATTCCTGAGATGTACTCTCAAATTCTAAGTGCCAATATAACACAAACAAAATGGCATAACTAATGAAATTCTTAAACCAAGATAGTTGCAAATTTATATTTGAGTACTGGTATCACTCTAGTCAATAAATTACTATTGCAGAATGTCATTCACTTGATCTCTTCTTTCATCTTACAAGTGTCACTCAAGCAACTCTCATGACTTGTATATTTTGTATATTTCTTTTATCACAGAAGAAAACCCAAAAACCAGGTGTCCTTAAACGACACGTTCTGTGCTTCAAATAGATTTTGTCCAACCATTTCACTATGGCCCTCGATGAATATTTCCATTTAGAAGTGCTCTGTGCTCCGAGGAAAAGCAATGGCGTCTTGGCATAACACCACTCCCTGAAGGGGACATGTCCATCATATCTTCTTCTTCATCATGCTGGTTGGCTAATTGGTAACCATTATTATTAATTACAGAATACTTTTCACCTTGACGTGATGCAAGCCACCACAGTAAAATAAATATAAAGATACATATTATGTTTATGACTAGAGTAGCATACATAAAAAGCATACGTTCAATGTCCATAAGCTTGTAGATAGTAATGGGACATATTAATTTTCCTAATGCTACTCCAATTACAAAAACCGCAGCTACTTTATTTGAAACATGTATGTATCGTTCAATCCATAATATACCTGTAGGAAACATTGATGCTAATCCTATACCTATCAGAGCAGTTCCCACCCGCAAGGCAGTTTCAAAACGATCTGCTAAGAAAGAAACAAAGATTGATCCAGAAGTGCAAAATGCAAAGTTGAGCATAAGCATTGTTAAAGGACTGAAGCCACTAGCAAAAAATATAGAAGCAAATCGCATAGCAGCAAATGAGCCCCAAAACACAATGAAAAGCTGAAGATTACTATGTATATTATATCTATTGAAAATGTTGGGTGTCAAAACTAATCGACCATACGTTACTTCTAAACCCATATAAAGAAAGAAGAACAATGCCATTAAAGCAACAAGCAATTTGTGCACTACTTTGTTGGTAATTTTCTTTCCGCTTAGTCCTTCTTGTTTTGATTTTGGATCACGTGGATTATGGCACAAAAATCCAAGGAATACTAAAGAAATTAAAAAAACCAGTATACCTACTATTAAGTAGGTGAACTGAATTTTATTAAATCCATATTTTTCTATTCTGTTAGCAAATATATCAAATATAGTATTTATATGTTCAGTATCATTATCAAAAGTTCCTGGTTTATGATGAATATGATGTGCTGGTACAGAGGTTGCCAACGTACTTATGACTCCCACAGGACTAGCAGAAACATCATCCTCCTGTTCCAATTTTGTGGGAATTGGAACAGAATCCTGTGTTGTCACAATTTCACTTTTCCGTAATGCTATATTCTCATCACTGGGTTTCAGTGCAAATGAATCACTATGCACTCTTCCATCTTCCATACTTCCATTCACATTTGAGTTAAGCCAAGTGTTCTTTAATGTAGAAGTAGGGGTAGAATTTTCATAATACACATTATCAGAAAGCGGCTCTTTAGCATCATAAAAAACAGCTTTTTCTAATGAAAAATGAGGGAAATTTATTTCAGGCACCTTATGCTCTACTGAATTTGTGTTTCCCTCCTTTAAACTCTGCTGAGAGTCTAATGAGCTAATATTTTTATTATCAGCCTTCCATTGCAATGAGCTAACCATCACATTTTTTCTGCTGAGATTTGTATTGGATCTGCCAGATGTCTCCCTAGTGGGAACTGGTGAAAAAGCATACTTTTTAGGTAACACTTGACTATCTTCATTTTCTGACGTCCCCATTTCTGTACTTATTTCTTTAAGTACATCAGTATTACCATTTTTAGTATTGTGCATAATATAGAGTGTCTCATTAAGATCTGAATCTTTAAATGATTGTATAGAAGACAAAGATTTCACAGACTGGATAACAGGTGGAAATGCAGAAGTAGCAACACTGCTGGATGGAATTTTTCCAGTTGATCCTGAAAAAGGATTGGATACTTTGCTTGAAATACTGCTAAATTCTGCACGTTCCCCTGTTATTTCACTACCAGTAGTAGGATTACTTACAGAAGTACCACCTACCACAACAGAAGATGCTGGGAAAGCTGAAGTTGGAGAGGGAAAAGGTGTATTTCCAGAGGTAGAGGTATAAGATGGAGACAATATTGAAGCCTCTGTTATGGTAGTAACTGGAGAAGTTGATTGCATAAGAGGTGGTGGAGATGGAGGAGGTGTAGAAGTAGTCGTTAGAGGAAGCAAGTCAGCTGCTGGTGGTATACCTACATGAACTTTATCCCAATTTATATTTCCAAGTTTACTAGCATCTATCTTATTTGGCTTATGCTTGGGTACTTTAGGTTTAGGTGATGTGCTCTGAGTAGAAAGAGACACACTTTCGGAATGAATATCAGATGGAAATGTACTGCTCTCAGTAAACGAAAGAGGGCTTGTAACATCTGACACATTCACAGTATTATCTGGAAATAATGAAGTGTTTGAAACATTTCTAACAATTTCATCACTGCCTAAATCAGGAAATCCTTTTAAGGATTCAACTTCTCTTCTAAATCTTCCTTCATGATAAAATATACTTTTTGAATCTTCAAGATGGACGGGAAATTCAGTGACTGTATGTGCAAATTCTGTACTTAAAGTCGAGTTGACCAGCGTTGACTCCAAAAATGGTGCTGCCAATAACGGGGCTACAAAAGCACCCAGGCCAAAACTAAAATGCAGAGCCTGCATAAAAGGACCACTATTACGACCCCAAAGATCCAGACACAAGACGTTCCCACCTGTAAACAGAAAATGATAATAAATTAAATTAAAGAGTGAAGTGTAATTAATTTCCAAATGTATACAAAACACTGCAATAATTATCTGAGAACTATTACATTATTCAAATAATCAACCAAATATGCATAATTTCATATTTATGAAATACAAAACAACAATCAATAGATTTAATGCAATCTCGGATGTCTCAATGTACAAGTAATTACCAATTTTTCTAATTAATTTCCAAGTGGAAGATCTGAAGATCATTGCTAAGTCTCCAAAAACTGCTAATCAATTAAATAATCAAGTCGGTAAGACAACATCAACTTGAATGCCAACAACTCATCAGCAAATCAATATTCATTACTTATCAAACTGAAGCATGTAGGTAATATATTCAAAGTAAGATCAACATAACCAAGCTCAGTACCAAACCTTCCCTGAATCACAACAAAACACTATGAACTAATCAATCTCAGTGTGATCTGACTGAAATAATTTCTTTCCAGAAGGTCACAAGCAGCAAACAAATCAGCAAGATTAACAACAAATATAATTTTCTCATTTTTGGAAATCTGTTTCTATGAATGTCATCAAACCCAAACCTGGTCGGCACAACTAGTTTGGCTGATTAAAACCTGCTTCCCAAGATTATTTTCACATTATTGTGAAGTTAATAATAGGATTTTGTAAAATGTTTTAAAATAAAATTAAAAGAACTACAATTTGTAATTATATTACATTTATGAAAGTCAATTCTTGAAAACAACCATTACAATATATCTGCTTATTGTATAAATAAGAAGAATATGATATTATAAGAAGAATAATTATAATCAGTAACAAGAGTTTTCATAATTTTGGAGCAAGTATTTCATTCAAATTTTTTCAACTGAATTTAAATTTTATTTTTTGTAAGTCTGAACTTTGGATCAATTGGAAATCAAACAGATCAATTGAGATACAACAATGTAACATCCATTGATTTTTTAAACTATGCTTACACCCAACAACTTCTTACATTGGAAGATGTGTGCAGCTCCACCAGTTGCATTCAGTATGGAAAATGACCGGTAAAGTACAATCATTTAAACAATTATTCATTACAATGTTAAAAAAAAAAATCAACTGAAAAACAAGACACATTTCCATTATATTTGGAAAAAAAATAAGTTAAAGCCTTGAGAAAAAAGTGAACTTATTAGTTTAAACAAAAGTTTGAATTTCATTAACACGAAATTAATTATATTGTATATAAATTTGCATATATTTACAGAATATAGTTGACCATCGGCAAGAGATGAATGTATGTATAAAGAGAAAGAAAATGAATTTAATCTTCATATTATTCTTAACAAATCTAATTTAAGGTTTTAGGTATAAACAATCCATTGAGGTTTCATTTAAATCAAGTCCTTTATTAATATAATAAAGTGGAAATTTTAATGACCTGATGAATAAGCAAGCCTTTGGGGTCACTGTTCAGCTTGAATCTCAGACAAAATGTCTAAGGTAAGATAGTATCAATTACAAGATTCAGCTAGCTTTTGTATCATTAGAATTAAAGATACCTGGATGAAAACTTAACATATAACTTACAGAAACACTTGAAATATTTGCATACAAAGACAATATAAGGCTAACACCTCAAACAAATAATAAAATTTCTGAATAGCACCCATGGGCTTGTTGATGGATTTCCATGGATTCACATACAAACATTACCCATTCAAAGGACAAACAAAAAGCATTGATGTTTGTACTCTTATAAGATGTGCATACAAAATAAATGCTTTCCACAATGTTTGACACAAGTTCTTGGCATTATTCACCATTTATACAAATAACACTGTGGTAATTGAACACTTTAAATGTGAATACCAAATCGAAGAATTCATTTTAGATCAAAGAAACCATCATTTCAAGAAACTATTTTTAAAACATTGATACAAAATATAAGGCTAACTCAAAAGAAAATGTCAATGAATAATACGGTGATTACTACAAATATAATTTCTACTGATTTTTTTTCTATTGCAAGTCTCTTAACATGCCCATATTTTAACTTCCTTTTTTTAAACAAAATAATCAGACATTACAAAACTTCATCATTAGCATTTTTATTGAAATGAAAACATGTTTATGAATAAAAGTCAATGAGCTGGTAGTAAAACAAACACAAAATTAATGTTCACAATATAAGCAAAATAAATAAATAAAAAGATTAACAAGAACTTATGCAGTTTAGTGAATTTCAAATTACCTGTATCCAGAAAGCCCATTGTAATGCCCAAAATGATCATGCAGGACTCCAGAATCAAGAAAGATTGGCACCAAGGAGTAACTGTTATAAATACTGCAGTGAGAAGCAGGCTAAGAAAAAGTAAAAAAAGGCGATTGAATCTATCAAATAGGACTCCACCTGCAAATAAAACAAAGGGCAATTGAATGATCAGAAGTAATAACATTAAAAAACTATTCAACAATAAATCAGACATTCATAATCATACAATTAAAAAAATGTAAAACTGACTTTAAAATGTAAAAATTTACTTAAAAGTAACAAATAATTTCAAACATACATTCGGTCTTTCGTTTTGGCAATAACATGCCACAATTATTGATAACTAGTCTCTCTCTAATTGAAATTTTTGAACATTCAAAGATTTAAATGAAAATAGCACTTGTGCCATATGATTTAGAACATTGTTTTCTGTACATTTTGAAAGTTTTAAGAAAAAATGTAGATTTGGTTCTGCAAAAATCATCTTTAGGAGTTTTTGAAAAACTGACACTATTTTATTGCAAATTACGTGAAAACTGCTAATATATTGTTATTACAAAAACTAATTTAAAGTACAAATATTGACAATTATAGAATAATAAAATTGCATTAAGAATCATTGAATAATATAGGACATAATTAATACACTGAATATATTAAGAACAAATTTCCAGCTTTAATAATGAAGGTATAAATACTTGATAAAAAGTTGAACTTTTGCAACTTTCCAAAATTCATAATTCCAATTAATGAGAACTTGACCTTTATTATATTTATAGGCACACATTCATCTATTTAAGCAAGAAATTTACAGCAAAACTTTGGAGCCGGATTTTGAGAAAATTTTGAAATGAAAATACGTATTAAGTAAACCCAAAAATTAAAAGAGAAATTTGAAATTAACAGAATATAAATATAAGTCAGATCCATTGAAGAACTTTCATTTTGGAAAAAAAATTCTGTGAATGGTTGAGGCCCTAGTGTTTGCCTGGTTAAAGAGTTGCACAACTCAATTATTTAATATATCTTTGTGATCCCTTGATCATAAAATTAAAGCAAATGTAAATTAAAAGCAGTTACATTGGCTATCACTGTCAGAACTAAAGCTAGAAATAACAAGGCAAATATTTTAAAATTTACTTTTTGTACGCTTTTTAATGCCCTCTGTATGATCATTAGGGATTATATATACGACAATAGGAAGAAATGGTGGCTGGGCTCTCTTAAGTATAATAAAACATTTATCCCAAGGTTTATTTCCTTATCCTTCTTTTTGTTCATACAAAATAAAGGAAATCTTAAAGATAATATAATATTAAATTTTTGCAAAATCATTTTATGCATTTCTTAAAAAAAACTGTATTTCTTGTTGAACTCCAAAAAAAGAACACATAATGTCACGATAAAAGAATAATTCTCATACCCATAATAGATCCAATAACATAACCAGATGTACGAACTACATAAATTGGTGATAAGCTGCTTTCTAACTCCATTGATGGAGACAGGTAGGTTGGTCCAGGAATGGCAATGCACAAACCCTGAAAATACAGTAATACAATACTTTAAGATGAGAAAGACGTAATCCTTTATTGGGTATTTAAATGGTCATTAAGTTATATGATAAATTCTCATCTTGTTCAAAAATCTCATTACATAAACTTCAAAATTTTACATGTAACAATTCAAAATTACAAATTTTCACTCAATTTAACATGGAGCAAATTTGAATTGCTGATATTTCCCTTGTACACTCTTTATATTGTCCCTCACTGGCAGATCTGCAGGGGAAGGGGGAAAGTGGGCCATGCCCCCCCCCCCCCGGCCAAGTTTTCATTTACCTTCCTTTATTTGGCAGTACAGAAATAATATACAATGTAATAACAAATATACTTATTATTTAACAAAAATCTAATATCCTCCCAAATTGATCGGCTGGATCCACCCCAGCCATCCCTTGTTGTTTCCAACACTTAACCAAATTAATAGAAGTAATAAAAACAGCAGATTATGAATGTCTGAAGTTTATATATAATTGTCACCATCCCATTACCAGAAGGCCCGGGTTCGAGTGCCAGTCAGGGTAACCAATTCTTTGAACAAATTTAATTGTCAGAAGTTTTAATACTTTCATTTGCGTATTCAGATTATTCTCTAATTGATACTTTGTTTTCAAATGATGACACAGATAAAACAATGTTACTCTACAGTTCTATCGTAATTTACTTAAAAGTAATTCAATAATTGTTTCTTCCAGAATTGAAGAAAGAAAATCTATCTTAGTTAAAAATGACGAAATGTCACTTGTGTACATAGTGAGATTAATGTATGGTTTGACACACTTTATAAGGAAAATTAAAATAATTTTGCATGAAAACATACAACCAATATGTTTTATTAAAATAAATATAAGAATAGTAATAGTTTTTATGACCTTTATAGGGGGTATTTAAAATATTTTAGTAATAGTACTACTAGTTGGGATCAGCACAACTTCAACAATATTTCTGATATTCAAAACAACATAATAACAAGAAAATAATCAAAATTTGTATGACTTCTCAGTCATGAACTGGGAGCAAAATAGTATACATCAAGAAGGTACATCAAAAGTTCAGATCTTGAAAGCTTCAGTCTTAGAGTCGAGACTTCTTATTTTGTTAAATCCTACTAACTTTTAAAAATGTTTTGTTAAAAATTAGCTAATACCACAATTGCAAGTAATTTAGAAATATTCTATTTCCAATTTACACAATGTGAAAGCTCTTTTATTGCAACATTCCACAAAAATGCATTTTGATTTTAATCAAATTTTAAAAAATGAGGAACAGAAAAGCATTTGACAGCTTTTAAACACTTGTCATTTCTACTCTATTGTGATGAAAGAAACCAAGTACACTGCACAATTTTATAAACAAAATTGGAGCTCAAAAAATCTTTTAAATTGCTTCATGCATGTTCATACAATTGTCACTTATAAATACCTTTTACAGGTATAAAGAATGTGAATGTTAATGTTTACTTACAAATATATTTTTGATAATTTTCCATTGTGAACAACATTTGAGTCATAACTCCACACACTGTATAATTTAAAAAAACATTATCTTCAAATGTCTATAAATGTTTTGTAAAATAGAAAAGATTGAGTAAAATGCAGTGAGTGGCTTGGAATAGTTAAAATAACATTAGAACATCATGAGTGCTGTAACTTTTCTATTGTTCCAAGAGGTCTCTTGGTACCACAAACAACCCAGTAAATTCAATACCTCAGCATCATACTTATGGGTATTGTATCCCATCACTGAATTCCACCAGAGCACAATTTAGGCAAGCGATCAGCATATTACACATGAGAAACATCATCATTCATGGGGAAAAATAACAAAATGATTACACTGTAATTCAACTTCAACAAGAACACAACTTACCAAGCCAAAGAAAGCACCACACAGTCCTAGAGTTTTGGCAAATAGCACACACTTTCCACTGGATACTCTTCTGATAGCTGTATTCATTTTAGATGCATTGTTGAGAAGACCAGCTTGGTCAAACACAATATCTTCCTCAAAGGGATCTTCTTCTTCACGATAAGCTGCCATCTCGCCACCATGAGTTGAATAGGTCATATGATAAACTATACAGGTAAATATCACAAATTCACACCCATTAAAATTATTATTACACGACATCATATATTTTGTGATTTACTGATTATCAGAACCATAACAAAAGCACATTTTTCTCATGACACAAAGAAAGCTTCATAAATACAAAATAATACAGATTAATTTCAATATTTCATCACTTGCCCAGTTCTTCATTTAGCATTCTGATTCACTGTCAAGACAAAACCAAAAAAGAAACATCCGACAGAGGGCAAGGTAAATATTCAAATTTAACCACTAACCTGTATACTCCTATACATATCAAGAAACTATGCTTTACAGAAATTATTGTTGGTTGATACTTAAACTGTCAAACAATGAATCTCAAAATAACTTAACCTAAAACTGAGCATGAAATGACAACTTTTGGTTTAAATGTACAAAAAATGATATTTACACTGCAGAACAGAAAATACGTGCCATCTTTATAAAAAAAACATAATTTTATGACTTATTTCAGCCTTACCTGACCTGCACTAGCAGTAATTTTGAGATTTCTCATTCATGCCTTGAATTTAAAAAAGTTAATTTTGAGTTTTCTTGAACCTACTAAAAGGAGTTTTAACATTGATGCCCTACAATTTTCATTAAACTCACATAATTTCAGTTGTTTCTTAACATTAAATGATTTGCAACGGTGAGCGACGATATATACATTTTTGTTTCGGAGTTTTTGTAACGCATTACCACAGATAGCAGCACAGTTCACTCCCTGTATCACCCTGAATGGACCATTTCTAATTTTTAGGCACGCATTTCCAGGTGTGCATCAGTGTGCACTTCATTGCGACGGCAAGAACAACGTTGAAAAAACCACTACAAAAATATCCATCTTCATAAAAAACAATTGTTTACATTTCACGAGTTTCTTCCAATTTCATTTCAATTTCAACATTATAGTAAAATGTTCAGCCCGAGAATACTTCTCCAATGAGAGAATACGGTTACTAAAAGGGGTGTTTATATTTGTTCAAATGGGCTGTACAAATATACCCCTCTATCAATTAGGTATTTCGGAATTCAATAGAAAAAGTTGTATGTAACTAAATTCCAATTTCTACCTTCATCCGGTAATAATACGATATTATATTAGAGGTTGATTTTTAAAATGTTCTTTTTTTTAAAAAAAGTAGGAATAAAATAGCTCTCCGAAGTTGAAGGAGAAGAGAGCAATTTGTCATTTCATTCATTCTTATCAAAACATTTTGGAGACATTGCCGCTGCTCCTAGTGTAAGGTCCCATCTCATTAGTTTTGTAGTTTCCTAGCGATCCTGAGCGAAAGCCTGGTTGGTCTATTGCTTCTGAATAGTTAAACTGTTTATTTGTTTATTTGTTTATTTGTTTATTTGTTTATTTGTTTATTTGTTTATTTGTTTATTTGTTTGTTTGTTTGTTTGTTTGTTTGTTTGTTTGTTTGTTTGTTTGTTTGTTTGTTTGTTTATTTGTTTATTTGTTTATTTGTTTGAGTTTGTAAATATCGTTCACAAATTCATATTCATCCTGGTCTATGATTACTACATAAGAAATCAATGTTACTAACAGATTATATTGTTTTAGAAACAAGGTTACATAAGATACCGAAGAGGGGAAAAATCGTTCTTCTGGAAGATGCCGATTTTAATATTGTATTGTAGCAATTATCGCAAAGTATCAGAGAAAGTAACAAGAAATTAATATTTCTTACGAACTACAATTGCAAAACCTTCAGCCCAAACATAGGCCCTCATTTACCTGGGCTTGCCAACATTGCAGGCTTTGCGGGACGCCACTGTGCCGGGCCCTGAGAACGTAAAAGTGGATAAATCCTGTTATACATTAGTATATTACTTCCTCTAACACGTCATGTAGCCAGAATCCATGTTTTCTGGGTCCTTGATACCAAAAACTTGATTGACGGAAAAACGTCTATCCGTCCGTCCGTCCGCTTGCGGTCAACGCAAACTTCTGAACTATTCGTTTCTCCAAAATTGATATTCCTCGGTCGATCTGAATAAACTCAAGGCTTTGTGAGTTTCAAGAAGATTTTGCAAGGCAATTTCATTGTTTGCTCAAAAATCGCTCAAATTCTTTTATTAAATTTCTCCTCTTGTGTATTAATAGACGGTAAAAATAATTGGTGATAGTTCCATTTTCGGCGAACTCTCCGTTCTTTCTAAAATTGCAAAAAATGTTAACATTTCTAAACTACAAAATTGAAGAGATTTTTGCCGTAGATAAATCTGCTGTAAAAATTCAGCTCTTCAAAAAAGGCCGTGTACATTTTTTAAATAAAAAACTAGTAGATTTGGTGTAATTTGTGTCTGAAATTTATTCAATTTCAATGTTTTCTCAAAAACCGCTCCATTCTTTTCTAATTGTTTCCACGCTTAGTTAGGGGCCCTTAAAATTATCGCGGTTCTAATTTTCGTTGTACTCACCGAAAGTACCGTTGTACTCACCTGTGCTATTGAATTTCCACTTTTTTCCGAAATCCATACCCGATTTCTTTTTTTATACTCGGACATTGTTAGATTATGAATTACGAGTGTTGTTGGCAATAACGAGCGTTGTTGATAATAAGAAATGGTCACAACCGTGCAATGGAAAGTATTCGCTTAATAAAGGAATTTTCGCTAAGAATAATTTCTAAATTCCTCTTCTGTGCTACTCAGAAAGGCATTCTCTATTCCTTACGTAATCGAGGCTTATACGGGAGTAGGGTCTATAATAGAGAAAATGCGGTAATAAAAATTCTGAAAAAAATGTTTTTAGACAGACACTACTAAACGCGACTCTTTCAGGGCATGCCTAGTGTGCTAAAAGTACAATTTTTAGCACTAGTGCTAAAAGTGAGATGTTCAAGTGTTCTGATGAATCTGTGAAAGCAAGGAAGAAAACAAAATACTTTCGTCTGACCGGAAGGACCAAATTAACCAAAAAGGACAAAAGAGCAAAGGGATAAAAGGAACAAAAGGGACAGACAGGACAAAGGGGATAAAAGAGAAAAAAAGACAGAAAGGAAAAATGGACAAAAGGGACAAGACAGAAAGGATAAGTGCACAAAAAGGAAAAATGGACCAAAAGTAGAAAATGACAAAATCAGTAATGCTGTCTAAAAATAGTGTATGACACACGTGGTAAGAGTTCTTTTATTTTGCTCGCAGGATTACGCCACTCGGCCTCGGGTCGCAACCTTTCCTACTCGCAAAATAAAAGGTCACTTTTACCACTTGATCATAACTATTATCTTTCTTTAAAACAAACGTAGCATAATTGCACCATTTTTTTCTCGGAAAACGTGTGTAACTACTAAATCCAAATAGTTATCTTCAAGTTTGATTCGGTTCCACAATTATAGTTGCCTTCGTTCATTCCAGGGAGTATTACGTAAGTTTATGAATGCACGTGGCGGATAGCGCTTCTGGGAGCGAGTTTCAGCATCGAAAAATAAACACCATCCTCAACTCCAACTCTTCAGTGCTTGACTGCAGACTTTTTATCGTGATGTGTTCCTGTTGCATGCACGTCAACGTGTATCGTGGGTAACGTCCCGAGGGGCCAAACGCGTTGCCTCTCATTGTCAAAAGACAATTTGGTTTATATATTTACACTAACGATTGTAACAATTGAAATAAGTCGGGCAGATGCAGTTTTATTGGTTTCCAGCCGTCGGCGCCCACTTTTGTGATACGCCTCTATCACTTCGAAGTGCTTTATATTGTCACTACCTAAAGATTCACTTCAGTCGCTTTTGTTCTGATTTAAACAAAGTATAACAAAGTATTTGGCGCATCATTACATGCTTTTTTTAGTATGATAGTGGGTGAAAGCAACAACAATGCGCGTGGAGAGGTCCAGAACACGTGACTTAGATCTTCTGGGAGCAACACTGTCGTCTCTGAGGTATCAACCACATAGTATATTTACAAAATAAATTTAATATAAAGAATAAACAGCCATTCACGTGTTTCGGAACTAATTTATCCCATCTCCAGTGGCCCTACAAAGATGAAAATAAGTGAACAAATATAATTAGCGTATGAATTGTTATAAACACAGGAATACAAACGAACATTGTCAAATTTATAGAAATAGAATACATACCCAAGTATCATGGATTAAACACGTAGGACTTAACTCGGCGTAGTAGGGAGATACCTACGAAGAGGGGGAATCCATAAACTGACGTGTAGGTTGGCGCCGGATTTTACTATTCAGCTGGATAAGAACACCGCCACCAGCACAGTGGTAAAACATGCAATACACTTACGGGATTAATTACCAGAGAACGTGACGCGCCTAAAAACACGAAGTATTCAATCATCTCAATCAATCAGTAGAGAAGTATGTTAATGTTAAACAATCTAATAACTGTGCCCGGCAGGAAGCAACCCTCCAACGATTGCCCCCCATCAATTGTAAAATTAAAAAAATAACTAAATTCAAAATACACGAACTCAATTATACTACTCGACATACTCCTGGATCCACAACTGAAAATTAATGGACACATCTCTATGGTTTGTCAGAAGGCAAACCCGTTGCACTCCGTTTCATTAAGATGTAATATAGGGGGTGCTATCATTCCAATTATTATACGGAGTGATTTGTGTGGTGATTATACATAGCGTCAACTACTGAGGTCATTAGTCTCGTGAGTGTAATGTATGTTTTCCCTTGGGAAGGGGCGGTGATCTTTCCCCGCTGGATGGTGAGATCCGGCGCCGACCTACCGACGGCTAGCGGAGTTTCCTCAACCTGGTATCTCCCACCAGAGGGGCACTGCCCCAGCCGGGACAAGCTCTAAGTGCCCGACCGGTTTACCGTCATGTGTGGTAGTGTAGTGCAGGTTAGTACAAGTGTGTTTAAAGGAGAGGACCAGGAAGAGGGAAGAAAGATCGTGCGGGGGCCGTGGCCCGTTTGTTAGGATACTGATCCAGCATTTGCTTGGTGTTGATCGGAGAAGCAACGGAAAACTACCGATCAGAGCTGCCGGCCTCTAGAGGTCTCCTCCAGACAGCGACTGAATACGATGTAATTGACAAGCTGGGGTGGAAAATCTTGCCACTGTTGGAATTCGACCCAGGACCTCCCGGTCAGAGACACTGTAGTGACGTCAATTGATGCATTGAGCCACCACTCCCAGTATATTATACACAGTGCAGTCACATTAATGCAACCACCGCCTATGTTCGGCGTAAATGTGCAATTATCCCTCACAGATGGCAGGTGGCAGCACTAAAAGTGGAGGATATATAAAGCGCGGCGGGTGGAAGCGGAAAACAGTAGTTGACGCTACGCAGAAACGGAGCGATTTATCCGACAACATGCAACTGTAGAGCAACTGACCGCTCAGATGAACCAAGGGGCTACCTACTAAGGACATCCGCAGCAGAGGTCTGGTTCGTGCACCCATGCTGGCTTCTTTCAACGGCAACGAAGGCACGAATTTGCACGCGACTCGCAACCGGACGTCCACTGAGTAGCGACAGGTCACCTTTTCAGATGAATCTCATTTTCTGCTCCATCGGACATGGTCGCACTTGGTCGTTGGCGTATATAACGTGAAACTTCTGAACGCAAACACCCTGCAACAATTGCCGGAGAAGGGAGTGTAATGGTATGGCGAGCGTTTTCGTGATATTCCCTGGGTGATCTCGTCATTATGAAAGTCACAATGGATCAACTGATGTATGCAGCTATCCTTGAGGACCATGTCCGCCCCTATATGTAGATCGTTTTTCCTCTGCAAGATGTCATCTACCAAGCTGCAAGAAGGTCCGCCTTGCGGGTTGCTCGAGCGTTTCGCACCGTATCCTATGATGCTGTGTGTGTGTTAGCAGATATGCCTCCGATCGACCTCATTGCGCAGGAGAGAGCTAGACTCTATTTGCGCAAGCGGGAGGGGGCCTCAAACTGGAATATCATTACGAAAGAAGAGAGGGGGGTGACAATGGACCAATGGCAACGCCGATGGGAGCAATCATCAACTGGGCGATGGACATTTCGGGTCATTCCCGACATCATGACGTGGATTCAAAGGGAACATGGAGAATTAGATTTTTATCTAACTCAGATGCTGACAGGGCATGGATGTTACCGGCAGTATCAGCTCCGATTCCGGCTGGACGATAGCTCCTCATGCCCAAGGTGTTTCCCGGCGATTGAAGATGTAGAACACGTGTTCTTTCATTGTCCACGCTTCACAGTGGAAAGGGAAGAACTTCACAGACTCCTGCAAGAGGAAGTGACCCCTGAGACCATCGTCACTAGGATGCTGCTGACACAAGAGAATTGGAGTGCGGTAGCCACCTATGCCGCAAAGGTCCTGAAGACGCTCCGCTCCGAGGAGCAGTTACGAAGAAGACTCCCGTAATATTTCGGTGACGTGCGAAAAGCCCATCCTTCCTTCTCGCGATGCAATGCCTGACGGCGGTTCCGCGGGAAGGAATAGGAGGAAAGGGAGGGGTTTTTAGTGGGTAGGCATAGGCTAGCTATGAATCCCACACGCAGCGGGTTGCGGGCCCCGCTGTGTCTTTAGAAGATTTTCCCCTGCCCACGTAAAAAAAAAACAAAAACACACACACACACAGACACAGACACACACACAGATACACACACACACACACACAAACCCTCTGTCTGTCTGTCTGTCTGCTTGGCGAGAAGGGTAATGATCTGGCGCCAACGATATAGGCAATCTGCCATACAACAACGTGATAAGTGTTGTCCTGTCTGGGGCCAATGCCACATACTATATCATTTATAATTGTTTTGAATTAAAAAAAAGCTGATGTGATGAAGTTAAATGGACTTCAGGTACGGTTTCAGCTACCCCAAAAACCTGTAGGTAACCTGGTCTGACTCCTGGGTTAGAAATATCATTCATTTTTTATATTTCTTGTCATATGTCTGGATTATATCAAAAATCTGATGTGATGTAGTAAAATGGACACCGGGTTCGGATTAAGCGGCCCCCAAATCATAGAAAACATAGTCTAATCCTCAGGCACAAACACAAAATTTGTTTACTGTGGCTGTGTTATTAATGAAACGTTGCTCTTTTTCAGCAAAACGTGAATCAAATCAAATCTGGAACCATTTTTGAGAAAATATTGTTTTCGTACATTTTGTTACTATTTCATCCAAAATTACACTTAAACCATAATTTGTTCTATTCAATCAAAAATTTAAAGAAAGATTTTGAAGCAATCTTTCAGAAAGTTCTCCCAGAGACTCTCCTTGATGGAAAATACAGGTCTCTTAAAATTAAAATTTGCATTTCAAATTGGAGGAGTCGTGACATCAGTCAGATCGATTGGGAAATATCGTTTTGATGAAAATTCTGCATACGTTATAGGTTCTAGTGTTGTTCACAGACGGACGAACGTTTTGATGGATGGATGGGCGGACGGATGGACGACAGACGTTTTGCTGAAAATCAATATTTCGATAATAAGGACCCACAAAATGTGGATTCTGACGACACATCATATACGAGAAAGTAATATACTACATCAAGGAGAATCCACTTTTTCAGTATTAAGGGCCCACTAAAAGAGTTTTTCTACCAAAAATTCTGAGTTTTCGCTACTGCATTTCAATACTTCCTCCATAGATTGTAGTAACACATAAGAAAGTAAAAAATGCACGATAGGGAAGAGGGACATGGCTGCTCGCCTTGCTTCACCTGAAGAACTTGCACTCTGTAGCTTCACCATCGAGCAGCGAGGTTTCTATAGTAACGCGTTGTTGAGGCAGCTGACGTTGCGTATAGCAAGGACGCAGAAAATATCCTAGCGACTTTTGTATTGTGCATTATGCATTAGTAAACCGTGTTTGCACTTTATAATCTCCCTTAGAAGTACGATAACTACATTTATAGGCCTACTATGAGCGTGGGACGCGGTCACCGACGGCACTTGGCGTGTGCTCAAGGAGGCGCACGCCCGAAAAGACTGGGGAGAGAGATTGTTGACTTCAGTGTGAAAGGACCTGTGGCTGTCAGTCTTGATGAGGAACAAATTTCCTCTCCTGGATGTTCAGTCATTGATCTCTTGTTTCATTCGCCATCAACAGTAATTTATTCTTCACTCTTTTAATACACTTTAAAATATGGAATCATAATAGAGAGAATCGTCAAATTTCATGATAATTTAATTTTACAGATTGGAGAAATAGTGTTTCGAAATTATTATACAGCTCGTGTAACAGTGCTTGTTCGCTTTTCTGGAGCAGTAAAAACACTTATTGCCAACAACAAAACAACTGATGACATGACTTCATGGTCTGTTGCTATTCGACAGAAAATTCTAATGCCAAATCCACATTTGGAAACAGGCAGTCAGGATCTGTTCAGTATTGCTGCTACTGAGGTAATACATATTGTAAATTAATAATAAGCTATAGAGTAAAATAAATACATTATTTATCATGTTCTCAACTGAGAATTGGTTGTGTTTAGTATTTTTGGCACCTTATTCAATTTTTTTATTACATATGAAAAAATTGCGAGAACACAATATTACACAATTAATTGAGTCTTATTGTTTTCTTTCATTGATGATCTTAGAGGTTACAATAATATTTCCCTGAATTTTTAAATCCCATTGAAAACATTTCTATTATCAGATTTTTATTTTCATGATGTGGTGCACACTTTACTAAATATCCTAATGTGGGTAAGATTTTAAGCATATATCAGTAATTAAGTAGTGTGTATTTTTCCATGTGTATTTTTTAAACATGATTTTTTGATTAATATATAATCTGTATTATGTAAACAGAGTGCTGTTGAATGGAATAGTGTTGTTGCTATTCGTCTAATTTTACGACAACCATCCCCTGTATGGCGCACATTCCATGTGGAAGAATTGAATGTTTATCGTGATGTCCCTAGAAGAGCTTCGCGTCCAAGTCATCATATTCAGTCCACATCAAGTATTGTACATTGTCAGGTAAGAAAATATAGAATTTTTATGATGCACTTTTCATATAGAATTTATTAAAATCATTTGTAATTGCTTATAATTTCATTAATTCAGTGAAATCAAAATCATTTTGTAGTCTTCATCCTTACATTTTGTAAGTTGTTAGTCTCTTTAATAGCATTTAATTGATCATTGCCTAAATCAAATGAAATATGTTTTTTAACAAACAAACCACTATATATATTTCCTCAGCAAGATGTCATCTACCAGCAGGACAATGCAATGTGTCATACAGCTATCAGTTTACGTGTGTGGTTCGAAGAGTATCAGGATGAGTTTACAGTACTTCCCTGGTCCCCAAACTCCCCAATTTAAACTCAATCTAGTATCTGAGGGGCCATCTCCATCGGGCCGTTCACGCCATCCACTGCTTGGACCCCGTTTGTGATATATATTTATCTGAAACACATATCTATTTCTTTCTATCTATTTATATAAGTAAAAAGATATAGATGGTTATATAGGTTTCAATTGAAACTTATTGGTCTTGTGGTTCCATGTCCCATGTGTGTCAGAATTCTTGACTGTCAGAAATAAGCAGCATGGAATCATAAGATAACATAATTGTACTTTGGCACAACAGCTCTTTACGAGCTAAGGCCTATCCATGTCATTCCAGCCTTGTGACCATGGGTTAAGGGGTATGCGTGATTAACACATGGCTATCCCTGCAGCTGTATTTCTGGTATTCTTAATCTAAGAAGTGAGCTTTCTCATCGTCACATAGCAAGAAATACTGGTACATTGCAAAGAAAGGGGGATTAGAAATTCTGGGACATTGCTTCACAATTAATTTTTGCCCGGGTATCGAACCTGGGATTATGCTGTGGAAAGTGAGCATGCTGAGCAACGAGCCACAGAGGACAAGATAACATAATTGAAAACTACATATTGTAATATAAATATTTATAAACATATAACACATACAACATAGGTATTCAATAAAAGTACAAAAAAAACAACCATTTTCAATACTTGTATTCCAATTATTCACAAATAAATCTATAGAAACAAATCATGGCACTACTTGGCATAGATAAAATTATAAAATTAAAATTTGTATCATTGTGTTTCATTCATAGATAAGCATAATGGCTTTGACTGAGACTGACCAAGCCAGAATCTATAGTCACTTTTAACAAAACTTCATTTAAGCATTTTTGGAAATAAGTAAATTTTGCTTCACTTATACCACATAAAAATATTTCAGGTTTGGAAAAAAAAAAAAAAAAAAAAAAAAGATTACTTTAATTATGAATTACAATGTATGTATGGAGGATGCCCAAAGGTTTAAAACAAAATTGTACATTAGTAATTTTTAAAAATTCAAAATTTTTAATCCAATGGATGTTTTGTTCTTTGATTAGTGAATTGGGATTAGTGAATAAACTACAAAAAGTTTAAAGAAAAATCTTAGAACCAATTTGGGAATATACTTTTTTGTATATTTTTGAAAAATTGTCACAATTTGATTGGATTGTGCACAATTGCTGGTATTTTGAAAAACCTTTACATGACACTATTTACATTCGCAATAATATAGACTCAAACATGAAGAATAATACAGTTTTATAACACATTTTCCTGGTTGGTTTAAAAAAGTTGGTTTGGCAATTTTCAAAAATTTTGAAGCTTTAATGAAAATTAGATTTTTACCATATTTGTAAGTGTACTTTTTCTACATGAGCTGTTGTTCTACATATGGAGATATATTTTTAATTTGTTTTAATTTTTCAGGTATATATGAATTCTTAATATTACAAAGTTAACACAATTAAAATAAATTTCAATATTTGTTTCTATTATTTATTTTATTTCTATTATTTTTTATTATAGTGTTTCAATTATTATGGTGTACAGCACATTGAAAGTATTTGAATTGAATGGGTAAAACAAGCAATGACATGTGAAGAATAATAAAGGAATAGAGTTAATCATTTATTTCATTTGTTTCATTATGGCGATACTGAATTACAAAGTATTAAAATTTGTATTTTCTGTTTCAGGATTATTGTTCATTGCTTTCACTTATAAGACAACAAACTTTAGATGCTTTAAAATGGATGCCTGGTTCTGAACAAAATCCACCAAGGGATAGTAATGTAAGCATATCTGTTCACAACAGCATGATAATCATATTCAGTTTTCATGATGTAAGGTTAAAATAAATATAATAGGATTTTCATCTCAAGTGACACAGTCAGCAGTTTTGCGAGGTGCACTAATTACAGTGATGCAAATGAAGGGTTGTAGATTAACATTTTGCATACGCCATTCATCTTTCTATCATATAAACATGACATAACAACACTGTGGGTAGCCAATGAATAGGTAATTTTTAGTTGTAAGTTCAAATCATACTTTGAAGATCAAATGTACAGACAAACATTAATTACTTTTGTTAGAATGTAAAAAAAACATTGATGACTTATTTATATCAGTTTTCAAGGTACTGCATTGTAATGCAATATACTGTACTATTCCATCTGATCTACCCATTTTGTTTGTTCAAATGACTACATATATCATTATCATACACCCTTTTTGGATATACTTTATATTGTATTTTCTCAGTTATAGGATCCCCTTAAATATAAGAGTGAAATTTTAGAAAACTTCTTTATGTACTTACTGCATATTATGCCATTCATTGTAATAATTTGTTTTGAAACTGATAATTCCCTACAACTTTCATTGTGAGCAGATCCTAAGAAGATTGAAGGTAGGAAGTCAGATAGAAAAATATTGTTCCATTCATAACACTGGGATATAAAAGACAATTTTTGAAATGTTATTTCACTTCATTTTGAGATACTTGTATATTAGCCCCTTTCCATTTTCGTGTTGCCAATTTGTTGGGGAAAAAGGGGGCTTATATTCAACAATATATGGTTTATTGGTGTTCAATCAAATTTTTACCTATTTGAATTTTTAGTTCATAATAATGTGTTATATCTTGTGTGTGTCTTTTTTTTTCTCACACCATTTTATTCAGTTTTTTTATTTTCTTATTTTAAAGACATCAAGCTCATGAAGACTCCAATAGTAAGGGTCGCAACATTGTGGAACAGGAAAAGGGGGGAAGAAATGGTATTATTATATTTTCTTAACATTTAATAAACAGTTTGTGATTGAGATTTTTTTTGTTATATGGTAATTAATTGATGAAGAAATTGAATGAATTATGTCCAAAATTCTAAGTTCTGAAATGGCCTAAAAACTGTCTGCTAGATACATAAGTCATATCTAGAATATTTTAAAAAGCAATAACAGATCTTGTTAATATAAATCACTGCACATCTGTTCACAAGTTTACAATGTTGCAGCAAAAAGCAACAACAAATAAACAAACAAACGAACTGAAAGTGCTACAACAGCACACACTTTCTTGTATTATTTAAACATTTGCTAATTGTCAAAAATTCAGAGAGTTTAACAAAAGTTAGACATGTGCCATTCTTTAGAGCATCCCTTGTTTCATCCATGGGGGAAAAAATTAAGAACAATTTTTGAGAAAATTATTTTTTTATAAATTGCAATATTTTCATGCAGAAATTACATGAAAATTACTGTGATTTTTGTAATTGTACATGACCTTTATATTCCAGTCGTTACATGCTCAAAAATACTAAAGTTCTAAAACAATTTGTTGCGTAGTTTTGAGTTTTTGCTCGTTTACATTTTTGGGATGCAGAAAACGAAGTTTGCCAAAAAATATTTCCGCTGGAATTCGACTTATGACAACAAGATCACGTTTTTGTCTTTTTTGCCTTTTTATAAAAAACTATCAAATTTAGGCAAAATATTACACCTTATCAAAATATTTTACATATAATTTCCTACAAATTAGTTCTTTACACCTTTTTGTGTCACGCACACCATTTACAGAGGTGTCCAAATTATTAGACTAAATATTTTATCATTGACTTCACGGATTATAATGAGTCTTACAAAGCACTGTACAAAAGTAGCTGTTTGAAATGTGATGTTTGTTAATGTTGTTGGAAATGTTCACACAGTTAATGTCACAATGAGGGCCTGTACTAAAGTACCAATGGTTCCCTCAAATAAATGAGTTGTTTGGAATAAACAATGACTATGCTACCTATCACAATAGGAAAGAAAGTTGGAAAACATCTTTGTGTCCTTGATCATCCTGAGTTTCAATAGGCTGCAAATAGCCCTGATATGAATCCCATAAAAAATGTTTGTTTGATAGTTAACAGAAACTTAAGAAAAGAAGGCCATAAAACCAGCTAATTAATCAACTCATTCGCACCTCGCAAAATGACATTCAATTTTAAAGAAATAATTAAAAATTGATTTTCAACATAGGCCTACCTCAGGACAAGTATGTTAATTATGAAATGCTTAGAAAACATTAGAACTCTGTACACAGAGAGTGTCAATATCTACAGTCGCAAATAAATTTTGTTTCATTCAATTACTTTAGTTTAATAATTTGGCCACCTCTGTAAGTGTAATTTGATAGTTGAATTTTGATAAATTTTTGCGCACCTTACCATTAGCTCCGCTACATACAGGAGTGGCTAATCAGAAACCTTTGTGTCTTTCTTCAGTATAACTCTCTGACTTGGTAATAATAGTTAGATCTTATTTAATGATATTTTTCATACCATACAGTGCTCTTTATGAATATCAAAAATAAAAATTCATGGAAAAACGAAAGTGCAAGAAATTAGTTGAAGGAGCCGATTGTTTAATTGCAAATTCAGCTCTATCCCTGGCCATCGTAGTTTATTCATTACGAGCTGACAGGAGATATTCTATATGAAATTGTGAATGATTTTTTGCAAATTTCGTTTTTGGTACATTGTTTAGGAAGCTGAAGTCTGTCACAAAAACATTTGTTGTAATTTGTGATATAGAAGTAAAACAATGAAAATACATTTTAAAATGTTTATTAATATCTCAAAAATATCAATTCTTGTAAAAAATATCATCCTATACGAGAACAAATCTCATAAAAAAACTAGGAATTGCAAAATATGTTAATTAAAAATAATTTATATAATACCTTTACGTTTGTTGCCACGAGTACTGTTCTAACGTGTACCACGAGTACAGGATTAGGCCTATTCTATTTTTAGATGATAATACGAGCTCAACAATTCAACATATTAACATGGCAAGTCAACAATAATTGAAATGACAAAGTAGGCGGAATTGTAATTATTCATAGTGAAAACTGTTATCCGGTCCCCCTTTATAAAAATGTAAACAAACAAGTATTGTTAGTTTCTTAAATAATAAAAACATCCTTTAACAAATTCATACTCATCAGTCTCGGATTACTACAAAAGAAATTAATGTTACTAACAGACTACAGCATATCTTTTATTTACCTGAGCCCGCCCGCATTGCGGGCCCGAACGTTACCACTGATACTGAAGAATACGGTCTTGGGCCATCTGAAATCGAACCATCAGACTCAAAGTGACTAAGAATCTGTGAATTGACTGATATAAATGTAAGTAAAAATACGAACCTATTAGGCATTATTGATTTGATGGTGTTGTCATCCCCTACATTCACGACAAAATTTGGTGCCGGTTAAATAAAAAATCTTCTCCAATTTTCAATAAGCTTCCTTGGGAGCAAATATAATGAAACAGGTGCGTCTACAATAATTTACGCAAAACATAGGGTGCTCCCAATAAAGCGAAGTTTTGCATTTCTCTTTGAATGACTTGGGGTTTGGACAAGTTCTCTGAAGAACAAATTTCAAAGTTTCGATAACTATCTTCACGACCTGTGCTTTTGCGCCACACATTCGGCTGATCTCCATTTTTAAACTCGTATCTTTTAGACGTTTCTCTTCTCCTGTTGTTACGATATTATGACTGTATGGCACAGCAACGTTTACAAGTACACTAGACTTTTATCCTCACACTCAATAATAATATCTTGTTTGTTTGCCGCTATCGTACGGTCAGTTAGGATATGTTGGTCGTACAATATTTTACACAGTACAACAGACGGTAGAAATTATAATGTTTGGACCACGTTAGAACATGTTTAATCAAAAATCAACGTATTAGACAAACATTTAAATTTTTTACAATCACATAACTTCATTTACGTTAGGGGCACATTGTGGCCCCATCATCTGGTATAAACTTTAATTCATAAAAATACACTTAAAATAACAAAAAGATAAACAGTGCTATATTAGACTTTTGAATTTACAAAAATAATAATAATTTTGTTTATAAAATAATTTAAGTTGAATGACATCTTATAATGGAGGGCGCAGTTTGTGCAAATACTCCCCGAAATAACTGGATCATATTTATGTAACATGGCATGATTTAGCCAAACAAGACATGACTTGGGTAAAACAACACACGATATAGCGAAACTATAAACTTCGAATATCAGGAAGAGGCGAGGTAAAAGTGACCATTGCGATGATATCAAACATGAGGTTAGGTGCTTCAAAGAATCGCTTCCTGCATACGAATGAAGGCGCAGGCAGAAGGGTTTCAAGTGATGAAAGGATGTGTTATTCTTGTGGAAGTTTTGGTCACATTTCGAGATACTACAAAACAGGCATAGTCTGTTTCAAGTGCAAAGGAAAGGGCATATATCTAAGAACTGTGATGTCAAGACTCTGCGATGCTGATCCAGGGATGTACCCCACCAGTGGAAGTGAATAAATTGAATTGTGATGAATGGTATACATGGTGTAAATGGTGCTACACAACATGTTACTAGCCGTCGTGATTGGTATATTTCTTATCAAGCATTTAGAACACCTAAATAAATGCAGTGCTAAAAGTGGGGTGCATATTGAAGCATTTGGTAGTGGGCGTATAAAAGTTAGGACGTTTGATGGTGAGAAATGGTTAGACAGACATCACGAAGATGTGTGGTGTTGTCCAGATAAATCTTGTAATCTGTTCTCCGAAAGGAAGGCAGGTGACAAAGAAATTTACCTGATCTTAAGAAATAATGACAGAGAATGGCTATTTTTGAAGAATAGATCACCGATCGCACTCGCTCTATCAGAGAATGGCGACAAGCCGTATCAGCTGGTGGTACAAGTCGTCTCACAGAAACGGGCATATGTACTTAGAAA